CGGCTTTGCCAGAACTGATCCCATTGGATAGGAGGCCGGGGCTAAGTGTGGCTTCAAAGGAGGATGGAGAGGAATGAAAAGTGGGTTTTCTACCACTGACACATACATGGTGTGAATTCCCCCCTCTGCCGGCGATATGGCTGTGTGTGCATCCGTGTGTGTGTATGTGTGTTGAATGGCTAAGGGCTCCCTTTGTCTCCATTAGAACACACTGGTAATGACTGTGGACTGCAGGGCCCAGACTGCACAGCTCCTTTGCATCTGCTAGTAGTACACATCAGGTGGGGGGGGAGTTTTGAGGGGGGAGAAATGAATGAATTGTATCCCGCAATTCATCTGCACGGGATTGCCTTTGTATGCTAAATAAACAACTAAGTTAGAAAATAGTAAAACAGATTATTATAGCCTAGCACCATTCTGGCATGACTACTAGATAAGGAGAGGGGACATCTAAGGCCCTAAATCAGTCCCACCTACACTTTAGCCTTAGCTCTTCTCTTCAGACAGTACACACTCTGCTGTTCAATATCCTGTACACTAGAGCACTCTGTGGCTGCACAGCTCTCCAAGAGAGGAGTCTTCCAGACAAGTGGCCAGACCGGAAGAGAGAAAATGAGAGAAGAGTGGAGGAGAGGAGGACATGATGAATCTGCAGTGTGAAGAGGTTCTACTTGATCTCCTGGTCGGCTGTGTGTTAATCAGCCCACCTGAGATGAGAGACGGAGATAAACGTCTCCTCGTACAGTCTAGCTAGAGCTACCACTCAGTTAGTCAGAGAGGGAACTGTCTGCCTGTCTGCCTGTCTGTCTGTCTGCCTGCCTGCCTGCATGTATGTCTGTATGTCTGCCTGTCTGCATGTACAGTGGGGAAAAAAAGTATTTAGTCAGCTACCAATTGTGCAAGTTCTCCCACTTAAAAAGATGAGAGAGGCCTGTAATTTTCATCATAGGTACACGTCAACTATGACAGACAAAATGAGAAAAAGAAATCCAGAAAATCACATTGTAGGATTTTTAATGAATTTATTTGCAAATTATGGTGGAAAATAAGTATTTGGTCAATAACAAAAGTTTCTCAATACTTTGTTATATACCCTTTGTTGGCAATGACACAGGTCAAACGTTTTCTGTAAGTCTTCACAAGGTTTTCACACACTGTTGCTGGTATTTTGGCCCATTCCTCCATGCAGATCTCCTTTAGAGCAGTGATGTTTTGGGGCTGTCGCTGGGCAACACGGACTTTCAACTCCCTCCAAAGATTTTCTATGGGGTTGAGATCTGGAGACTGGCTAGGCCACTCCAGGACCTTGAAATGCTTCTTACGAAGCCACTCCTTCGTTGCCCGGGTGGTGTGTTTGGGATCATTGTCATGCTGAAAGACCCAGCCACGTTTCATCTTCAATGCCCTTGCTGATGGAAGGAGGTTTTCACTCAAAATCTCACGATACATGGCCCCATTCATTCTTTCCTTTACACGGATTTTTGCTCACCGTTCTTGTGATCATTTTGACCCCACGGGGTGAGATCTTGCGTGGAGCCCCAGATCGAGGGAGATTATCAGTGGTCTTGTATGTCTTCCATTTGCTAATAATTGCTCCCACAGTTGATTTCTTCAAACCAAGCTGCTTACCTATTGCAGATTCAGTCTTCCCAGCCTGGTGCAGGTCTACAATTTTGTTTTCTGGTGTCCTTTGACAGCTCTTTGGTCTTGGCCATAGTGGAGTTTGGAGTGTGACTGTTTGAGGTTGTGGACAGGTGTCTTTTATACTGATAACAAGTTCAAACAGGTGCCATTAATACAGGTAACGAGTGGAGGAGAGAGGAGCCTCTTAAAGAAGAAGTTACAGGTCTGTGAGAGCCAGAAATCTTGCTTGTTTGTAGGTGACCAAATACTTATTTTCCACCATCATTTGCAAATAAATTCATAAAAAATCCTACAGTGTGATTTTCTGGATTTTTTTCTTCTCATTTTGTCTGTCATAGTTGACGTGTACCTATGATGAAAATTACAGGCCTCTCTCATCTTTTTAAGTGGGAAAACTTGCACAATTGGTGGCTGACTAAATACTTTTTTCCCCCACTGTATGTCTGTCTGCCTGCCTGTCTGTCTGCCTGCCTGCCTGCCTGTCTGTATGTCTGCATGTCTGCCTGCCTGCCTGCCTGCCTGCCTGCCTGCCTGTCTGTCTGTCTGTCTGTCTGTCTGTCTGTCTGCCTGCCTGTATGTCTGCCTGCCTGTCTGTCTGTCTGTCTGTCTGTCTGTCTGTCTGTCTGTCTGCCTGCATGCATGTCTGCCTGCCTGCATGTCTGTCTGTCTGCCTGCCTGCATGTCTGCATGTATGTCTGCCTGCATGTCTGTCTGCCTGCCTGTCTGCCTGTATGTCTCTGCCTGCCTGCTGTCTGTCTGCCTGTCTGTCTGCTCTTCTGTCTGCCTGCTGTATGTCTGCTTGCTGTCTGCCTGCTGTGCTGCATGTATGTCTGTCTGCCTGCCTGCTGTCTGTCTGCCTGTATGATTGTCTGTCATGTCTGCTTGTCTGCTCTGTCTGTCTGCCTCTGCCTGTATGCTGCTGCCTGTGCCTGCTGGTCCTGCCTGCTGCCTGTCCTGCGCTGCTGTTGTCTGTCTGCCTGCTGTCGTCTGTCTGTCTGCTCGCATGTTGCATGTCTGTCTGTGCCTGCATGTCTGTCTGCCTGTATGTCTGCCTGCTGTCTGTCCTGCCTTTGTCCTGTCTGCCTGTATGTCCTGTCTGTGCTGTCTGTCTGCCTGTCCTGCGCTGTCTGCCTGTATGTCTTGCCTGTTATCTGCCTGCATGTATGTCTGTCTGCCTGCTGTCTGTCTGTCTGCCTGCTGCCTGCTGCCTGCATGTTGTCCTGTCTGCTGCTGCCTGCCTGCCTGCCTGTATGTCTGTCTGCATGTATGTTTTCTGTCTTGCCTGCCTGCCTGTCTGTCTGCGTTGCTGCTGCTGTCTGCCTGCCTGCTATGTCTGTCGTTGTCTGTCTGCCTGCTGCTCTGCCTGCCTGCTGCTGCTGCTCTGCCTGCCTGCCTGCTGTCTGCCTGCCTGCCTGCGCTGCTGCCATGTCTGCCTGCCAGCCTGTCTGCCTGCCTGCCTGTCTGCCTGCCTCGCTTCCACTTTTCCTAACCACGTAAACCAGAGTTTTTCCTGGTCTGGTCATATGGTCAGGAAATAACTCCTGGCTTTCCTCCAAACACCTTCGCACCTTAGACGCCTCCAGTCGTCAGGGCTGTCTACCACACTCCAACAGTAGTAGAGTAGGGTGAAGTTGCCCTCTAAACTGATCTTGGGTCAGTTTAGCATTTTCCCCACTAATGGTTAAGGTTATGATTGGGAGAGGAGGAGCTGATCCTAGATCTGTACCTAGGGGAAATTTCACCTGGGAGCGCCAACAGTAGCGGCTACTAGCTAGGTATCCAGCTCCATCCCAGAGTAAAGCCAGAGTGGAAGGACTTCCTGTAAATGCCATGATGATGTGTCAGGGCGTAAGGATACGGCTCGTTTTATCATGATGAATGGACACGGCTACACTCACAGCGTTCTCTATATCTCGCCTGTCACTTTGCGTCTGAGGAACGCAACTCTCCCGGCAAATGTAATAATAACCAGTCGTACTGTAACACACACATCTCTGCTCCAGTCGCGCCTGCAAATAAACTTAGCCATCTGCGCAAGTCTTTATGACATTTAGAAGGAGGGAGAGAGGGAGAAAGCAGGGATCTCCCCTAAGTCAATTTGAACGGTGGGCCGATTAAATTAGGCAGGAAGCTTAGACCACGGTTGACAAATGAGCGCTGTGATGAGGGGGGAAATAAGAGCGTGGAGAGAGGGGCTTCCGGCGCGCTAACGCAGACCTGCCATACACGAGGGCACGGGGAGAAGAAATGAGAATCTAAATTACACTTCACACAACATCGGCATCACGGCTCACGCTAAAACTTCACCTGGGTTTACACATTATGGATGGGAGTCTGTGGAGGAATGTGCCTGCCCTAAAATAAGGTTTTTCATTGGAGAGAGCCCTAACAAAACAATAGAATACCTCTCTGTGGCAGAGAGAAGGAAGTGAAAGGAGAGATTCAAGGTGGTCTAAAAGCTTCCCCAGTCTTTTAAGCCTAGTTTACTCCTAAAGGCCATTCTTCACATCACCACCCTTATTACTACAAAAACATACTGCTTCCACCACCCCCACCCCCCCCCCCCCCACCCTCTAAACCCAAACCCTGGGTATCTCTGGGGTACACACACTCGTGAAGGAGGGCACGGCTGGGATGCCTTCCAATGGTCTTCGAGAGAGGGGGGGGGGGGAGAGAGCGAGAGAGAAAGAAAGAGAGAGAGAGAAAGAAAGAGAGAGCGGTAGAGAGAGAGTGTTTGTGCGTGTGTGTGTGCTGTGTTGAGGGGGGTGCCATGCTAATCAGGGAGCACAATGATGTGAAGCCGCTGCAAACCTGAGGGCTGACCTGCAGCTAAGACTCCACACAGACAGACATACAGAGACAGACAGAGACAGACAGAGACAGACAGACAGAGAGATCACAGCCTAGCACACTGAACTGCAGTGCTGCAGCCGCCAGTGCCACACATAGGGGAATACAAAGAGAGATAGAGAGGGGGTGGGGTGGGGTGGGGGGGGGGGGGGGGGGCTACAGGCCTACATACTCTCACAATAATCCGTTTATAAAATGACAAAGTATTCAATACAAATCAAAAAGCAACTAAGACATATATACACCACAGAAATAGGCTACAGGCCTACATACTCTCACAATAACCCGTTTATAAAATGACAAAGTATTCAATACAAATCAAAAAGCAACTAAGACATATATACACCACAGAAATGACACAGAATCACATTTGCAATGTCCCTTACACACACACACACATGCATCCACACACAAACACACAAACATTGTGGCCTAGACCCATCTAAAAAGCCCCGGCCAACCTACAGTACAAGAGAGCTTCGTTGACACGGCCCTAACCAACCAGGCTACCATAAGTCACGAGGCCACACCCAGTTCTGCCATTCACAAAGACAAACAAGACCCATACCTAAACACAACCTGAAGAGCCACCCCATGGTAACCCCAACCACCCCTGCCAACCTAACACCTCTATACCCCTGGCAGGTTACCCTCAGTGTCACCCGGGTGGGCGGTGCCCCTACCTCCTGGGCGCGGGTGATGAAGGGGATCTGTGTTCCTGAGTCAAGGTCTTCGTTGATGATGAGGCGTCGTGCCCACTGGCCGGCCCGGACCACCCCGCCCCCCTGGATGAGCACCAGCAGCTTGGCAGGGTTGGACATGGCATCAGCACTCAGGTAGATGAAACTCCTGGGCTCCTCCTCTGTGGCATCCACCTGGTCACATGACACAGTATCATCCTTTCATTAGTACTGCAACTTAAACAAATATGTAATCAAAATCATTTGAAGTACAGTCCTCGGAAGTAAGCATGGCCCTGTTAGCATGTTTTTGGAAGGGGGTTGGGGGTCTGACATACTCCTTGGTAACAAATAAGTCCTTAAAAAACGTCTAGTGTGTGCGTCCTCGACTGCCCTCGGACACTTGGATGGACGCAGTCCCCAGTGTGCCTAAAGGAATCTCTAAAGAGACACACACTGTCCATAAAACCACGGGCGGCAGCTGCAAGAACGTAATCCAAGCAGACAAAGAAAATGGAGGAGGAGAAATCTCAGCCTTTCTTCTATGTCGTTCTCTCGTTCCCTCCTCCTATACTTGGCCCCGGTTAATCTGCGGTCACAAGTTCAACTCGAGGCAGGTGGACCGACCCACCACTACCACACACACACACACACACACACACACACACACACACACACACACACACACACACACTAGAACAGAATGATTTTCCAGTGGAATAATGAGATAAAATAGGGCAGGCAGAGTGTAAAAAGTGTATAGGTGTAATAAAACTGGGTTAGCTAGGTGATTTATAGGTTGTTAGTGCCGTTACGGCTACTCCCTGCGCCAGAACAACAGAGGTCGTAAACATTCACTATAAACAGGGCTAGAAAAATTATCTGAGCTAATACGAAAAGGACCAATCTTCCTCAGAAAGAAAGAGCAACAGGGAAGTCAAGCCTGTGTTGGATGTTGGGATGAGCAGAGAGCAAGAATACACAGCTGACAGCGAATAAAGTCCCCTTGAGCGCATTTGAATGCAAAACAGATTAAGCAACAGCTTTTCTGACTCGGGAGACGACGTGTCACAATACAGTTAATTTGTTGAGGAGACACTTTTGGACAAAGAGAGAGATAGAAAAGCTTATTCCATCTCCCCAATCCTAGTTTTCGCGGGACACTCAATATCATAATCATTCTCAGAAGCCGACGCATTTACGTCAACTTTCACATTAATATCCCCTATAATCTTCAAGGGCGTGAATGAAAGGCCTGAATGCCTCATTTTTCACTCACAATACTTACTGGCACGATTTCTTTTGTCAAGTTGCACTTCGTCTCCAGCAGTTCGTAAACATAATGCGTGATGATCTGAAAGACAAAGAAAAACAGACTACTAACAACAATGGCACAGTGTGCGGTACACATCTCATGTACAGCAACACAACAGTATGCAGCTTGAGTGAAGAATAATGCACTTTTACTTTGTTTGTGTATACAGTGTATTTGGCCCCTACACAGGCAGACGGTACTGTATGTGTGAGCTAATTGAAAGTGATTGGAGTTGGCCGTGCCGTGCTCTTCGAGCTCAGAGCTCAGTGCAGTCCCGGTATAGAGGGAATGGAAGCCAAGGGAGGAACTCTGTGATATAAGCACCGAGCTGATGTAAGATATGTTTATCCTCCCAGCCACAACACCGAGGAACTTGTATACAGTGCAATTTCAACCCCAGGCCAACGGTTTCATGGTTCAACGACATCAACAACTTTCTTTCTTTTTACCCCATCTCCTCCCCTTCTTTCTATCCCTCCCGCTCTAACTCGTCGGCAGCTGAAAACATAAGGGCTTTTGTGGCATCGTTTTTTTTGGAAGCAAATGAGAGAGGGATGAGGGAGGAGGAGAAATACTTTCTGTCGGCCGTGTTTTGGCGTGTTTATAGTGGATGATGATGATGATCTCTCAGCTGTGGGGGTATTAATCAGACGTGCCCAGCCTGGCATGGAATGGCATGGAGGTGCTGTGATGTGGTATAGTGGCCCACACGGGTGGGCGAGGACAGGGGTGTGTAGTGTGGCATGGTGTGGGTGAGGTCTGTGGCGTCAGGGGGCTGTGGGTCTGCTGTGACCACAGGGACAGCTGGACAGGCCAGAGTCAGGTGCCTCCCTGTCCTCTGTGTTTGTGTTAGCTTTAGCTTGACTCTTCAGAACCCCACAGGAAACCAGGGGCAGGGAGGGATGGGGGCGCCATGGAGGCAGAGCATGTCAGGTCTAAGCCCTGAGACACAGGCACACACAAACTGAGTGACCACTGTCACACTGTTGCCTAGGTACTTAAACCTATTTACAAAGCTTTGCAGCATCATCAGTACAATACAACATAGTACACCCATATCCCGAAACTACCAGAGATAGCAGGGACTCAGTACGGTATAGTCTCTGGATACAATACAATACTCCACAACATTGTGCAGAGTTAAACCAACACCTAAAAGTTCAGTATTCAAAGCCCACAGACTCCTCTAAGCAGTCAGAAAGAAAATACTAATACCAATCATTATAACCTCTGTTAAAGCCAAAAGAAACTCAGTGCTAACCTGATTATGTGTCTAAAGAAACACATTATGGACAAATGATGCCATGAGATATGATTACGAAGGATTAGCCAATCGCAGGCCTGGCGGACAGACCAAATGAGATGACAGATCTTACCATTTGACCCGCTAGATGAGGAATTCTCCAAATGGTAAGAGATATAGCTGCGGCCGCATCAGCTAATTCACTAAATGTCAGGATCCCTGATGAAGACTAAAATGAATGTGAGGCTCAATATGAGAGTTTTTAATGGCATCAATAAGCCTTGCAGGAAATTTCATTTGTGCTACATTATTTGTTCAGCGCCTCAGGTGGCCCGGAAACCATCTGATGTGGAAAAAAAGAAGGAACGGGGGAGGTGGAGGAGAGGGAAGTGGACTGAGAGCGTGTGTGTGAGTGTGTGTGTGTGAGTGTGTGCAAGCGCGTATGCATATGTAGGCAGAGCACGCATGAAGCATAGTGTATATGTGCTGTTTCGTGTGTGTCCGTCCGCCGGTACACAGAGGTCTTTGTTCAGGTTGACAGACAGGCCCAGGGTCAGGATACAGGGGCTTGCTGATTGGAGTCAGATGAGGAAGCACAGCTCTGAGATCAGTATCGCTCCAGGACCGGATGAGAGAGCGAGAGGGAGCAGACCTTAGAGTCCACACACAAGCCCACAATAACAAACACCACAGAGGACTTTTTTCTTTCTTTATTTCACCCTTATTTTACCAGGTAAGTTGACTAAGAACACATTCTCATTTACAGCAATGACCTGGGGAATAGTTACAGGGGAGAGGAGGGGGGATGAATGAGCCAATTGGAACCTGGGGATGATTAGATGGTCGTGATGGTATGTGGGCCAGGAATTTAGCCAGGACACTGGGGTTAACACACCTACTCTTACGATAAGTGCCATGGGATCTTTAGTGACAACAGAGAGTCAGTACACCCGTTTAACATCCCATCCGAAAGACGGCACCCTACACAGGGCGATGTCCCCAATCACTGCCCTGGGGCATTGCAATCATTTTTGGGGGACCAGAGGAAAGAGTGCCTCCTACTGGCCCCCCAACACCACTCTCAGCAGCATCTGGTCTACCATCCAGGGACCGACTAGGACCAACCCTGCTTAGCTTCAGAGGAAAGCCAGCAGTTGGATGCAGGGGGGTATGCTGCTGGCAACATGGTCAACATGGACGACATGCCCACAGAGTCAAACCATCATACTGATGGGAGCTGTTAACTACCACACACACACAAACACACACACACACAGGCAAAGAAGCGCAAACATGTTCAAACACACACACGCTACAAGAAACTTCACTACTACGAGAAAATGGCTACCAATTGCTGCGCGGGCCTCAGCCATCGCTCTCTGCAGCCGATCAGCAGCATAAGCTACAGCACTTTGTCACTTCATTAACACAGTGTTATTAGTCTTATAATGAAAGGCCTGGCCCTGCAGGTAGTGGAGGAGTGTTAAGTGGTCCTGTCATTCTCTCCCTGGAGCTATGTCTGTCTGGGACTGGCTGCTGGTGCTGCTGAGGCTGATTATGATAGTGGGGGTGCACTCAACACTGACAGGGATTGGGGACATTTGGCTGATGAAAAAAAATTATAACTGCCCAACTGTCAAAATTAGATGTGCTGCCAATATTACTTAAACTACTCGATGTGGCAAAAATGACAGCGTGGCCGAGTGTGGATTGGCAGATGAGGGAAGATGAGGAGGAGGAAGCCGCATCTATCCCTGACCCCCGTTGAACCTGTGACATCACTCGGATGATGTCACCAAATGACCCTGGACAACACCCTGTCGTTCTCCGCTAACATCAAAGCGGTGACCCGATCCTGCAGGTTCATGCTCTACAACATTCGCAGAGTACGACCCTACCTTACACAGAAAGCGGCACAGGTCCTAATCCAGGCACTTGTCATCTCCCATCTGGATTACTGCAACTCGCTGTTGGCTGGGCTCCCTGCCTGTGCCATTAAACCCCTACAACTTATCCAGAACGCTGCAGCCCGTCTGGTGTTCAACCTTCCCAAGTTCTCTCATGTCACTACCGCTCCTCCGCACACTCCACTGGCTTCCAGTTGAATCGCATCTGCTACAAAACCATGGTGCTTGCCTACGGAGCTGTGAGGGGAACGGCACCTCCTTACCTTCAGGCTCTGATCAGACCCTACACCCAAACGAGGGCACTACGTTCATCCACCTCTGGCCTGCTAGCCCCCCTACCTCTACGGAAGCACAGTTCCCGCTCAGCCCAGTCAAAGCTATTCGCCAATGGTAAACAAGCTCCCCCATGATGCCAGGACAGCGCAGTCACTGACCACCTTCCGGAGACACTTGAAACCCTACCTCTTTAAGGAATACCTGGAATAGTATAACAGTAATCCTTCTACCCCCCCTCCCCCACCCCCCATAAAAAAAGGGTAATTGTCCCACTGGCTATCCTAAGTTGAATGCACCAATTTGTAAGTCGATCTGGATAAGAGCGTCTGCTAAATGACTTAAATGTAAATGTCTCTGAAAGCAGTGTAGCAGTCACCATCTCCACAGCCCAGCCAGGTAACCCACATCCCAAGGTCTCGTCCACTCATCAAGGCCAGGCATTTCGAAACAGAGCCAGTGGGGGCATGGCAGACGGCAGCAGTAGAGGTACCGTGATTGACCCTTCCTTCTCCCTTTCTCTGGGGGTCTATGTGGTTTGTTTTAGGGGAAGTGTTGTGGTGACGTTCCCCCCGGTGCCCCAGGAACCAGGAGGAGCAGAGAGGAAGGAAGGGTTTACAGGAGGGCTCAGTCTGTGGGGAGGGAGGGCAGGAGAGAAAGGTAATCCTAGGGAGCGTGTGTGTGTTGCCGGTGCCAGCTCCCACTGTGTTAGACAGCTGAGATTAAAGGGAGGGAGGGTGGATGACTGGCCTTGACCAAGCACTTTCCACTGAGTGGGCGAGCGATAGCACCCCCCTCAACGCACCTCTCCTATCCTTCTCGTCTTCTCTCTACTGCCCCTCTCATCTCACCACCCCCTGGCTACGGCCTTAATGAAGACCACTGTGTCGATAAGTCGATCTGTTTGTAAACTAACCTAGTGGAAAAACCCTCTTCAAACTAACAGGGGAGAGCCTTCCTCAGAGAGAGGGGGGAGAGAGAGGGTGAGAAAGAGAGTGAGGGAGAAAGAGACAGAGGGAAAGAGAGAGAGAGATAGAGAGAGGGAGAGACGGATAGAGAGAGGGGGTAGAATCCAGACCTCCCACATTGTGTAATGCTCTCTGATTACTCCGGTCATGGTTGGTCCAGCTGACCTCTCGAGGCAATAAGGAGATGATCCACCGGACATGGGTGTGTGGGGGGGGGAGAGGAGGGGGTGAGGGTTACCCCGGACATGGGGGGGGTGTGGGGAGAGGAGGGGGTGAGTGTCTCCCCGGACAAGGGGGATGGGGGGGAGAGGTGGGGGTGAGGGTTACAACTAGGGTTGCAAAGCTATCGGTAATTTACCAAAGCAATTTTGGTAATTAACAGGAAATCTATGGCAATCTATCGTAACTTTGGTAATTTATACTTGAATAACTTTTTTAAACAATTATTCATATATATATTATTCATTTATTATATCTGTGCCCATATTGTCCATACATTTCTAGTAGGTAGACAATATGGTTCAAGAGAAAATAGCTTAATTAATTAAAAAAGCATCTAATCAACAATGGCATTCTTTTCAATTAACTCTGCAACTCTTCCAACTGTTGACTTTTTTCATTTTTTTGACGCCAAAACATTGACAACAAGTAAAATAAATACAATTTTGTAAAAACAATTATATATAAAGGATATTTCATGCTGAA